TGTTTTATTTTATTTCATATCAATTTTAGAAAATTAGAACTGGCCAGAATAACAAATGTTTTAATTTGCTGTGATTTAAATTCAGGTCGCCTCACAGTAAGAAGGTCACTGGTTCGAGTCCCGGCTGGGCCAGTTGGCATTTCTGTGTGGAGTTTGCATGTTGTCCCCGTGTTCGCATGGGTTTCCCCTGGGTGCTCTGGTCTCCCCAAAGACATGTAGTATAGTGTATGTGTGGGAATGAGTTTGTATGGGTATTTTCCAGTACTGGGTTGCAGCTGGAAGGGCATCCGCTGTGTAAAACGTATGCTGGGGAATAAAAGGTCTAAGCCAAAGGAAAATGAATGAATGTATGAACGAAATTCACGTTCATTCCACCAAATATTTATTTCTAAACTCTTTTAAAGTTAAAACATTGGTATTGTGCATATAAAGATGTATGAAAACATGGCTACTATTTCTTATTTTATGCAAAAAAAAAAAAGAAAAATGCTAAAATTACAATATTTATATGTCATCAGTAGTTTTTGTAGAACTACATTATTTTTTACCCTTAAATCTGTTTATGAATCGTAGATAAGAAAGAATTTTTTGTAAGTGTTGTAAGAGTAAGAGAAAAAACAACTGCACTACAAATTATGAATTAACCTCTATTAATAATAAGAATTATTCATTGATTAATTTTTCTTCAGCTTAGTGCCTTTATTCATCAGGGGTTGCCACCGCGGAATGAACCGCCTACTTATCCAGCATATGTTTTACACAGCGGGTGCCCTTCCAGCTGCAACCCGAGTACTGGGAAACACCCATACACTCTCACATTCACACACATACCACATGTCTTTGGACTCTGGGGGAAACCGGAGCACCTGGAAGAAAACCACCGTAAAACATGGGGAGAACATGCAAAACCCACACAGAAATGCCAAATGACCCAGCAGCGACTCAAACCAGCGTCCTTCTTGCTGTGAGGCAACAGAGCTAACCTCTAAGCCAATGTGTCACCCATAATAATATTAATCATAATATTAATTAATATGATTGTCTTTTTCAGCTAGCACCTTTTTAAAGACAACCTGTAATTGGGATGAATATACACCCTTTAAAAACTTGTTGGCTTTAAAATTTTTTTTTTATTAAAACATTCTGAGGTGCGTTTAGCTTTTACAGTTATTCTGAAAGCTCTTTTAATGAGAATGTTTATGAAATAATAAATGTTTAATCCATCAAGGTCTTGCCCTAAATCAAAAGAGAACGATAAAAGAAAAGTGTCTCTAATTCAATTACTTAAATTTATTTTTTGCCTAATTAAGGTTTTTGCATCCAATTTTTGTTCATTCAAAGACAATCCATTCAGGTTACACAAAGCTGTTCATTCTTATCTCCTCATACAATGTGTGGAAGCATGTTGCGTTGGTGTCTGCTTCTGACATGTTTTATCTAAACCCTTGAATACTGAAAATCCCAAAGAACCATCTTTTGTCTGTGTGTCAGGGCTTTGAATGTTTTCAATAGTACTAAACCTCAGTCTTTGTGAGTCAGTTTCCTTTTTAAAATCATTCAATAAAAGAACAACAAAGTCTATCGAGCAAGAAAATGTCTAAAGGGGACATGAGAAACAGGATTTTGCTTGCTATAGGAGACCAAAATGTACTAGACATACTGTATCAATCGCATTGTACAGCATACCCCTCTTAGTCTCTTATTCATCAGGGGTCGCTACAGTGGAATAAACTACCATCCTGCTGCAACCCAGTACTGGGAAAGGTCGTGTTTTTTTTTTATTCACAGGTCACTTTTGGAGCTTATTCTTAAAACAAAATGACCAATAAAAAAATGTTGTACTTTGCCAATTCTTGCAAATTGCTAAAAGAAGCCCATATTACATACGTTTCTTTTATAGGGAACAGTGTTATGCAAAATTCAGTTTTAGAAAGGGTTTAAAACCTGTTGTGTGGCCACAACATGTGAATATAGCCAGCCTCTATTTTTTAAATCATCACATATTTGTTGGAGCGAATCCCTCCGTGGTGTTTTCATGAACAGATTTTTGGTGTAGATGGAACCAGGCATGAGCCAATGCAATGTGACACACAATTGAGTTTCATCGGCATTAGTTGTTTGGCATCAGCTCAGTGTGAGCTAACCCATAGACCACTTTCTTCTGCCCAACTTCTTTTGACATTTTCAGTTTTCCCACAAAGATACTTTCAGTCCTGTTTTTAAACCTGCCACTATTGTGATGCATAGGGATTTGTAGCTCTACTCTCTTCTGAAAAGAAGGCTGGTTGGACAAGCTCATTTGAATTTAAAGCGACAGTCACCAAAACTGCACATTTTAGATCAAAGGCTAAAACGAGCAGTTTCAAAGAGATAAAACAAAATATTTGTGTGGTATTTTGAGCTGAAACTTCACATACACATTTTAGGGACATCAGAGACTTATTTTACATCTTAATCATGATAGGCCAGTGTTATTATACATGAAATTTTCACATTTATTTTCTAAATTACATTTTTGAAAACTAAAAAAAAAAACGTTTATAATAAATATTATTATTATTCAGATGGTCAAATTATGATTGAACTGAGATTGATACCTGTGCTCTAAGGTGGAAACAAGTTTTGGTTACCTCGATTTTCAATGAAGTGACACCACCTATTTCATTAAAATACTATTTGTATTCTGTCCCTAATATCCCTAATATTGAGGATGAACCAAAATATTTTGACAAGAGAGTAAATGATCACAGATATTAATAATAAGTAATAATAATAAAAAGTGTAGCAAGTGTAGGCCCCTTTAAAGAAACAAGAGTATATATGAATCCCAGAGGTACACATCCTAAAATTGGCAAATGCATGCAGAATGCTAAAACCAATCGAGAGAAACATAGGGGTCTTGATTGAGAGCTCATGCAGCCCCTAGGCATTCCATTATAACCAATGCGCTCTGTTTGTCTGTTTGTTCCAGTCTTCTGCACTGTGATATAGTCTGCGCTTGACTTTGTCTAATTTAGCAAAAATGTCAACCAAACTTCTCCGCCTTGTCACTGGAAGTGACATTCCCCCATTGTGTATCCCTGGGGTAAGCAACGCAGCCACTGATGATTGAAGTCGACGGACGGTGGTTTTTAAATTCCGGTTTCAGCCATCCATCAGAAGATTAAAATTCATAGGATCAGCAGTGGAGACGGAAAGCACACGCACAGGGGAGCAGTGTCCCATTTCAGTATGCTTTTAGCCAGCTTCCTCTCCGCACAGAAATGTATTTGAATCACATCTGGCACAGTCAAAATGTGATCAATGTTTTTCTATACTTTTCCTCATGTCTCCCTAGATGATTTACCCTTCAGGGGAATAAATGCATGGAAGAACCAGCACTTCTACTTACGATGAGAAATATGAGAGCAAGGGTGTTGTAAACAAAAAAAGAAAAAAAAAATATCCAGGGCTTTCTTAATGACAAGTGTTTCTTTCATTTTTGTTTCATTGCAATTGAGTTCAGATCAGACTGTCAAAATCAGACTTGATGATACACGTGTTGCTGGTCTTAAAATATTAGAATACAAAAGTTTTTAAAAGGGCACCTATGGTGAAAATTAACTTTTGTATCCACTGTCATAATGGAGTGATTTAAACACTCAAGGTGAATCCCAAATCGCATACTTATGCACTATTCTACGCCATTGTGTAGTATAAATAGTGTAAGTAGGTCACACAGAAAACTCTAAAAAATAATAAGTGTACTTTATTTATCCTTTAATTGCACTCATTCAACCAGTAAAATGAAGTGTGGAATGATGGACACTTCACACACTCAACGACAGCAGCTCTGCTCGCGTAGCGGAAGGGGCGGGGCTACCGGGCGCACATGTTGGATAACCTTATTTATTTTGGATTGTGAATGAGAATTTCTCCTACGAGAGTGATTATAGCGCCTCCCGATGGAGAATGCAGTAATATTCACAGCAAGTATTATTTAATGCTTTGTTCATTTATTTCACTAATTTGACAACCATCAAACCTCATCAGGAAAAAAAAAAAACATTAGTGCTCCATTTGGGACAACACTACATACATATACTATGCTGTTGAGTGTGTAAGTGCATAAGTACATAGTGCATGAGTGCATAATGTATAGTGGGACATTTGGGACGCAGCTACAATGTCTCTTTTTTAATCACTGACCTTAAAATAGGACCCAAATCACAGTGATTTTGAGGCCCATCGCAACGTGATGTACAGTAGGAGTGTGTTTTTTTCCGCCCATCTATTGATTGACCGGCGCCATGTTTCTATAATGTATACACATGTCCACAGAACTTTTTTGTTGCAAAGAAACTGGGATTAAAACATATGTTACAAGTCTCTGTGAAGTGATTAGCTGCACTTCAATTATTTCCTTTAAAATATTTTTAAAACAGAGCATGTTTGTAATAAAGAGAGTAAAATCGCTGTGTAATTCTTAACCACTATAAATCACCACAGCCGTATGGTGTCAGTAGCAGCACATATGTGTGCGTGTCTGTGTACTGCAAATGGCATTTGCATGTGATCCATCCTTTCAGAAAGGCTTGAATAGACTACACCACAAATATACCAAATAGACAAATAGACTTTTGACTTAGCTTCATCCATAGGCTGCAGGCTACAAAAACAACTACATAGCCCTCAGACACTAAAATTGTACATTATTTATTAAATAATTGGATGGGTATTTTGAGCTGAAACTTTGCAGACACATTCTGGAGACACCAATGTCATATTTTACATCTTACATCTTGCAAAAGATGTACAATAGGTGCCCTTTAAATAAATAAGTGTCAAGGAGTTTGGGTGTCTGTATGAAAATAAATGAAAGAGATTTTAAACACATTGAAAGTAGGGAAGCTCCGATCAATCGTCCCGAGATCAGTATTGGCCGAAAATCACATTTCATGATTCGATTGGTACACGTCAATCTGGCCAATCCCATGAACCGATCGTATATTTTGGTTTACGCGTGCTTTGAGTTGCTGTGATACGAGCCGAGCGATCGCCGCTATCTAGTGTCTCAACAGTATGGCCTCTCATGGTAGCACTGCGATCATAGGCCTCTTTATAGTAGCACTGTGATGCCCTCAAATTAGATAAAATACCCTGAAAATTATGGTGACGAAAGTGAATGAGCAAGAAAACTGATCATAAGAGGCACAGTGATGTTCTAAGCATTATATTTAATTAAGTTAAATGAACAGTGCAGTAAAGAAAATCCTCACTCTCTCATTGAGCTGCTTTGACTGTCCGGAGCTGCAACCATAGACTAACTGTCAATAGTTGGAGTCTGGAGATGAGCAAATATTTTAATGGCCTAGCATGTATTTAGGCCTTTTTACATAAAATAACTGAAATTTCTGAGTTTTTGTTAATATGGCAAGCTCACTAAAACCTGGCTGGAAATATTAATTAAATAAATATATTTTTAAACTTATTTAATAATATAACTTTTTCAAATATAGGCCTAGTTTTTGCAATAAACTGTAGTTTATCGACCTATTTCCTTTTAGTAAAGAAGTAATGTATTACGGTGTGCATTTAACTTAAGCATCAAATATAGACTACGCTCCAAACTTTTTCTTCTTGAGATATGTTGAATTTTTCTTCCATCATTTGCAGTGTTTCTAAATTGCATTGTTATTTATTTATTTATTTATTTATTTATAATGGTTATAAGAGACCTCCATTTAAGTTTCATATAAGAGATCTCCACTTAAGTATCATACTTAGAGGGAAAATGTGCTTTAGGCATTACAAAGCTTGAAGCATCAGAATCGGTAGTCAGTATCGGCCGATCACCATGACAAGGAATCAATATTTGGTATCGGCTGTCCCTAATTGAAAGTGTATTAAATGTAAGCAAAGTGTCTAACCCAAGGTTTCTAATAAATGTATTTTTTTCAATGTAAAAAAAGTAAATGTAAAAATGAGATTTTAAAATGTTTCCTCATCATCACCTGGAACATATGTTCAAAAAAAATTACAATAAAGAAGTATTTTATTGTAAGAGGTATGCCAGTCAAGTTTTTTTTTTTTTTTTACACCGAATAACATTATAGTGGGCATCAATCCATACTTAAAACAATACTGCCTACAACTATGTGGATACCTATTCGTTATAGATATCGCTGTCAATTTCACATTGTCATTGTATTTGCACTGTCTGTATTTTGCACTGTCGTTGTATTTGCACTGTCTGTATTTTGTACTGTCTGGAGCCAGCACCTAAGCTTTTCTCTCATCATAGCACACATGCTGCTGATGATGTGACAATAAAAGTGATTTGATTTAATTTGATTTGATGATGTAAATTTTGGTAAATCATTACTCAGGAAAAAAAGAACTAAATAGGACACTTTTTACAGTAGAAGTAATTGTCAAAACAAACACTTGTCTTGCTGCTTGAAAATTGCTATATAAATGGATTCATACCTAATAATAAATCACACAAAAAGCATTGGATAGGGCTGGAAGTACTCGAATATTTACTTTAAAATGTACATATAAACTTAAAAGCTCTAATATAAGGTTAGTATTTGTACAAACTATGTTGCCATAAATAAATCTGAATTTGTGCGTTAAAAGCCACTGAAATACTGACAAATCAAAAGTATATTCTGAATTAATTTCTATAATAACCTTCTAAAACCAGCAGTATTAAAAATGCATAAAAACAAAGTATCTGCATAAAACTGAAAGGCCACTGCTCTTTAATTTACCAACAACAACAATAAACTCTAACAACGATCAACTCTAATAATTAGCAAGACACTGGGAATAGTGGCGAGCTCCTTTAACAAAGCAGTGGTAACAGAATGTACCAAAAGCAGTGCCAGCATTAAGGTATGTGTGAGATATGCCAGCGAGTGGGCTGACGGCTACATTGCCAGTGGCCCTGGATGATCCAACAGGAGTGGCTACTGACGGGCTACTGACAGCTGGAGCTGATAGCACTGGTCACAGAGCTGCTATAATAAGCCGCAGACCAGCAGAATGGTGTATCTATGCGAAACTCCCTGCCCTCAGGTCCGGTCCCCGGATATTTAAAGCCCCATATCCGATAAAGTTTTATGATAATACCAATGTGTTGCTGGACCAGAAGAAAATAGTTATCAAAATCCAAAAAAAATCTGATCCTGTGATCCCATGGGTATGATCTACAACATGATTGTATGGTTCAAATCAAAACAGCCAAGAAACATTCATCTGGATTGGCTGTTTCCATGTTAGAAGATGCCTTTCATTTATCTAACCGTGTAATATATAAATCATGGAGAGCACTTAAAATAAATGAGTCAGGCTAGATGCCATTATGCAATCTATCACTCACATTCTTATTTACATTCATACCCAAACATAATGCCCGTGCCTAACAACTCGATGTACCTTGTATGGAGTAATTCTTCTCCAGCTGATGTAGATCAGGAAGTATGTGGATGCAGTTTATGCAGCAGTAGGTGAAGA